GTATAGTGAATGCAGTGTGTTTGTGTAGTGTGTATATAATGAATGCAGAGTGTGTGTTTGTGTAGTGTGTGTATGGTGAATGCAGTGTGTGTTTGTGTAGAGTGTATATAATGAATGCAGAGTGTGTGAGTGTTTTTGTAGTGTGTGTATAGAGAATGCAGTGTGTTTGTGTAGTGTGTATATAATGAATGCAGAGTGTGTGTTTGTGTAGTGTGTGTATAGTAAATGCAGTGTGTTTGTGTAGTGTGTATATAATGAATGCAGAGTGTGAGTTTGTGTATTGTGTTCATATATTGCAGAGTGTGTGTGTGTTTGTGTAGTTATGTAATGTGTGTAAAATGGGGGGGACGACATTTTTTAAAAAAAATATTACATTTTAATTTTTTTTAGTCCCCCCTCCCTGCTTCTTACCTGGCCAGGGAGGAAGGATATGGCATTCTCTGGTGGTCCGGTGGCATGGACTGTGCAGAGAGGGCCCAGCACACTCTCACCTTCCCAGCAGCTTCCTTCAGCTCCCCTGTCTAAAGCTTGCGAGTCCCGTGAAAGTTAGACAGGAGAGCTGAAGGGACCTGCTGGGAAGGTAAGTAAGAGTGTGCAGGGCGCCCTCCGGGACCACTGGGCTTGTCATGGGCCTGGCGGTCCTGGTCTGCGTTATCGGCAATATCAGTATCTCTAGGCCAATACCGATATTGCCGAAAATACAGAATATTGGCCGATAATATCGGCCAGACCGATACTCGGTTGGTTCTATTACCCTCTGCCCCCACTATTGCCCCCATTACCTCTTTTCCACACTATAGCCCCTATAACCACTGACCTTCCACGCATGCAAACCTGGGTTCACACACTAACTACATGCTAATTTGGTCTTGCAATTACACACAGACACAGACCCTCAATAAATATGCCCTCGCATACACACACTGATGTAACTTGTATTTCTGACTCTATAGTGTCACCGGCGCCCCCTTTTCCCCCTTAAAAAGGTAATAAACTTACCTTTATTCCAGTTCAGCCGGCGCTGGCTCAGCCCATGCTCTGCCTCCTTGGAGATAATCAGAATTGACGTTCTCAGAATTTCCAGTGCTTTCTCATAGGAAAGCATTGGGAGGCATACACACACTGATGTAACTTGTATTTCTGACTCTATAGTGTCACCGGCGCCCCCTTTTCCCCCTTAAAAAGGTAATAAACTTACCTTTATTCCAGTTCAGCCGGCGCTGGCTCAGCCCATGCTCTGCCTCCTTGGAGATAATCAGAATTGACGTTCTCAGAATTTCCAGTGCTTTCTCATAGGAAAGCATTGGGAGGCTAATGCGCACACACGGCAAAACGCTGCTTACACCAATTAGCATCTACTCATAGAGATGTATTGAATCAATCCCCATCTCTGTGGGGAAAGTTCAGCGCCTCCATGCAGAGGATGGAGACACTGATCATGCTCATTGCCTATCACTGACCTAGGAAGCACTTCTAGTAGCCTTCTGAGTGAGAGTCACTGGAGTTGTCCCTAGTCAGCAATGTAAGCACAGCCTTTTCTCTGAAAATGCAGGGTTTTCATTAAAATGCCTGCAGGGACTGGCTTTACACACCAGAATAACTACATTAAGCTGTAGTTGTTCTGGTGACTATAGTGTCCCTTTAAGGTGGCTCCTAACCTTTAGCACATGGTTAGTAGGTTAAGAGCCAAAATTTGGATGCCTGAATGCCTCATTCAGAGACATTGCCATTTTTCAAAAATACTCCCTTATACATACTGCCAAGCTACACGCACACATAAATACTACCCTATTTAAATAATAAAACAAAAACCCCATGTATTTAAACATACTCTGAATCCATGGATCCTGATACTACACACAAAAATATACATACACCCTGTTCCAAATTATTATGCAAATTATATTTTTCTCATTTACCCAAATAATTGATGTAAATAACAGTCTGCATAATTCTCATGATATCAACTATTAAGAGTACAATTCAAATTTTATTGAACAAACCTCCTAATGATAACAGTATTTTTTTTTAAACATAAAAAACTTACAATGCATGTTCCAACTTATTACGCACAGTAAGTTTCAAAACACTTTATAGGCTGTAAAGAACTGAAAGTTGTCATTTGTTGTGTTTACAGCATATTTACTGAACTCAAAAGCTATTTCAATCAAACTTATAACAACATTTTAACTTTTTAAACATTTTAACAGGTCACGTTACATTTTTTGCAGCTTCACAAGTCTTGCATCCATTGAACTTGTGAGTTTTTAGACAGTTTCTGCTTGAATGTGTTTGCAAGATGTCAGAATAGCCTCCCAGAGCTGCTGTTTGGATGTAAACTGCCTCCCACCCTCATAGATCTTTTGCTTGAGGATGCTCCAAAGGTTCTCAATAGGATTGCGGTCAGGGGAGGATGGAGGCCCCACCATGACTTTCTCTCCTTTTATCTCCATAGCAGCCATTGATGCAGAGATATTCTTTGCAGCATGAGATGGTGCATTGTCATGCATGAAGATGGTTTTATTACGGAAAGCATAGTTCTTCCTTCTGTACCAGGGAAGAAAGTGGTCAGTCAGAAATTGCATATATTTTGCAGAGGTCATCTTTACACCTTCGGGGACCCTAAAGGGACTGACCAGCTCTCTTCCCATGATTCCGGCCCAAAACATGACTCCACCACCGCCTTGCTGACGTCGCAGCCTTGTTGGAACAGGGTGGCCATCCACCATCCATCCACTACTCCATCCATCTGGACCATACAGGGTTGCACGGCACTCATCAGTGAACAGGACTGTTTGAAAATTAGTCTTCATGTATTTTTCTGCAGAATGCAGCCGTTTCTGCTTGTGAGCATTGGTTAGTGGTGGCCGAATAGAAGGTTTATGCACAGTTGCAAGACTCTGGAGGACTCTACACGATGTTCGTGGGACTCCAGAGGCACCAGCAGCTTCAAATATCTGTTTGCTGCTATGTAATGGTATTTTAGCAGCTGCTCTCTTGATCTGATGCATGGATCTGGCAGACATCTTCCTCAATGTGCCTTTATCTGCACGAAACCCGTCTGTGCTCTGAATCAGCCACAAATCTCTTAATTGTGCAATGATCACGCTTATGTTTTCGTGAAATATCTAATGTTTTCATACCTCGTCCAAGGCATTGAACTATTTCACTCTTTTCGGCAGCAGAGAGATCCTTTTTCTTCCCCATATTGCATGAAAATAGTGCTCTGCTTAATAATGTGGAAGATAATTGAGTTGATAACTGATAAACTCATTTTCTCCCAGACACAGATGGTTCAACATACAAAAAACCCTAAAATACACACAATACCCCCTCATGCCCTATTTTCCAAGATATCTTGTCCCCAAGCGCTCAATCTGTCCAAAAAGCACCCGGATCTATGGCGGGATGACCAAACGCCACCAGGATAAAGTTTAGACCGGCTACACAGATGGTCCATGCCCAAAAGAGTTCCAGAGTGATTAGTGCTTTGGCCGGTCAACTGTCGGGGGCTCCTGCATATGTAAGCGATGTTCCTCCTGGCTCTCAAGGTGTGACTGATCCACACAGTCTCAGGCACCTACCCTTCAAAAAGAACTCTCCTGGCAGGTTGGCAAGGGGGTATCATACTGTGTCAAGATGACCGGGAGCCGCAATATCCCACAGCTGATTTGAATTCCATACTGGTCTCGGCTAAGTCCGACTGAAGCCCATTCATGTGCCAGTGAGAGAGTGTTCGGATCATTTCGGGAGAGTGAAGGTACTGAAACAGGGGAACTGTGAATAAGCCTCTTGGGAAAGACGGGCAGGCTAACTTCTGAACGGTGTCTCCTGTCACGGTACATGGTCTTTAAATGACATATGGAAACAAAGTCTACAAAATGGGGACACTTTGTCACACTACTCTTTACCCTGCACTGTGTAGCCGGTGGCACAATACTTCTAGATTTATATTGGGGGTAGTGGACCTCCCCCACAGAGGTCCGGTACATTAAGAAACTTGTGTGCAGCACTACCTAGTCAAAGTAAAAAGGAAGGACTTTTTCCAGTCCACCACATACCTCCCTTTCATGATCTTACCCGGCATCCATATTTTTCTCTACTGGCAATGCCTTCCTAGATCTACTTGCAGTACCACTCTATCAAAGTTGAACATTTTCTCTATTTTATAGTTTGGACCGTTGTTACGGTTAGGATACTGGTTCACAGTTTTAATATATACCTGTGTTATGTACATTTTTGATGATTATTTTTACTTTTCTACACAAACCAATGCAAGACTTGACATGGTGATGTTAATGGTTACTTGCTACAAATGCAGGACCTGCAAATCTCGACTACAGTGAATGCAACATTTTAGGTCCTACGAGTTCCTTGTGTTATACCTCTAATCATTACCGTTGAAAACTCACAATAAAAATATATTCAGCTAAAAGGGTTTTTAACCCCTTAAGGACCAAACTTCTGGAATAAAAGGGAATCATGACATGTCACACATGTCATGTGTCCTTAAGGGGTTAAAGGGACACTTCAGGCACCAAAACAACTTCATCTAAAAAAATTTGATATGGCGCCAGGAGGCCCCTGGAAGCATTCTTACCTCAAGGAGTTTAACTCCAAATTTGCTCCAGCAGTGATGTCCACTCCTCCCTAGTTGGCATTTGGATTTATTTTATAAATTTTAAAGACAATTTTTAATTCACTTTGTAGTTCTAACAATTCACATTTATATGAATAAACCTGATAAAATCCAGTTTGAGAAGTCGTCTTAATGTTTAAAACACTGTGATTATATATACACACATTTCAATGGGTTACAAGTTTAACCCCTTAAGGACCAAATTTCTGGAATAAAAGGAAATCATGACATGTCAGATTTTAAGGGGTTAAAAGCTAAATAAATTAAAAAACAACAACTCCATGGAAACATTTAAATGTCTGTTTCCTCTCAGATTGAGATAATGAGGTGTTCAACCATTAGAGTAACTATTTGTCTAGGTGAGAGATCATTAGGCAGGTGATGTACACGCTAATTGCAGATATAAAACAAGACTCCCTCCCCCAATTGTTGAAGCTAGTAGGCAGTTCTTGCGACAACAGTGTTTGGACAGAGCTGTGTATTTTTTTTGGTGTATTGTTAATTTATTGGTGAGAAATTTAAGATTTTGCAGCAATGGCCTCCCAAATCCGGCAGAACTATCATTTGGAAAGTGAGGCTGCTATTAACCACATTGTTAACTTGGAGTTGAAAGCCTCTTATGTCTACCTGTCACTGGTGAGTGACTCTTATTGTAATTCTTGTCTGTAACTTCCAACATGTGATTATAAAGGATGTAACATAACATGTAACTTTATGTATACAATGCCTTTTTAAATCTAAAAGCTGCTTAGTGCACAGACCAACCCCTGGTTATACCCACTCAACAGCTAACAATAGTGTCACTTTGATCCATTTGGCATGTTGGAAAATGATAGTGTGGGTTTGACTTTTTTAACTTTGCTTATAAACATGGTAAAACTGTAGTTGGCACAGTGATGTGCTGACCCAAAAGGGCAGGTATGGACCTGAATGAGGCAGATTAGAGTGTTCCTTGGTTATAACTGGTTTTGTGTTGGCAATAAGCAGTGTAATGTTTTATTGGCTCTTACACAATATAAAGTATGGGGCTGTAACTTCATATCTCAGTACAATTAAGCAGCTCCAGTACACCATGCAAAAGTGCTACAGTGAGCCCCACACATTTCAGTCTCCCTCTTGGTCTGCTTATATCTCCCTAGAATAGGGTCCTTGGTGCTCTGAGGTTGTGGTTTAATATGCAGCTTTAGTTTCTCCACTGTATACATACCTCCAACCTGTGTGAATATCTAGTGCACACTCAAATGGAGCAAGGCACAGAGCTAGGACATCCTGTTATAAGGCTGCTCTCTAGGTTCATTCAGGGGTATGGAGTTTCAAAGCGGAGAGAAGCTCATGCATCCTGTTACTCCAGTAGGCTACCTCACAATTCCCATCAAGGTCTCAAAGCATGACTTCCTGGACAGAGGAAATTGTTGACCCTGTTAGAGATGTGATTTTCCCAGGACTTTTTTGATTATCCTGTATTTATTTATCAAGAAGCCTGAAAATGCACACAAAACAGTACCAAACCCCACATATCCTATATCCTTGGATAGCTGGTCTCTGGTCATCTCACCATGGACCAGGCACTATTTGTGTATTATTCTGAATCTTGTAAAAACTGGTGCTTTGTCAATATTCCAAATCCCATACTTTGTATATGAGTGGGATGGGAAAGCAGATGTAAATTTATTTGGCTTTAGTAAATGTGACCACTGTAATCTTCACCTGGATCAAAAATCTGGTATTTAGTGAAACGGTGTGTGCAACTAAACACTCAGCATTGATATACATATCGTTAAGCATGTTTAAAGCTGCACTATCTCTCAATACCTCACTCCCTGCAAAATTAGCATTGTATGAAATACACACATTGACTGTCTGGAATTTCACTGACATTCAAAAGATACTGAGACAAAGTAGGATCTACTTTTTCAGTAGTTTTCTATACACAGGGTGGCGCTACTGCCGTCTGTCCATACTGCACCTATCCCTAGTGACTGCTGCAGGAAATTAGCTCTGTCTATGGAAGATCCTGCAATCTCAGGACACTCCATAGACCTCAATGCTATATTCACGCCAGCAGTAGAAGAGACAAGGGACTGGTTCAGGTAAACTAAACTCACCTATGGGTCCCCTCTGTCACAAGTCACCAGATGGTGACAGTGCTGCTTTAAGCTGAATTGATTTAAAAGCATTCTTCTAGTCTTGCTGTGCATCATGCCATTTGTGTCTTTATATAACATCTTGTTAATAAAGTGACATTATATATGACCTCTTCTAGTAAATTGGTGACACTGCACTTGTAAAGTAAAAGCATTAACATCTGACTTGTACCTTCAGCAATTCTACTTTGATCGTGATGATGTTGCACTAGCAAAATTTTCCAAGTTTTTCCATGAGCTGTATGAGCAGAAGCAAGAGGAAGTTGAAGAATTTCTCAAGTACCAAAACATGCGTGGAGGAAGGATTGTAATCAAAGATATCAAGGTACTATGGACTGGAACAGGCCTAAATATATAACTGCCTATTTCATTCTAGAGCACAACAACCTGGTCAATTGGTGTCACCCATATTTTCTTAAAGGGTGACTCCAAGCACCATGACAATTTCTGGGATTTTAAGTGGTCCTGGACTCTGTATGTGCTACATTTTTTGCTTTGAAATGCTGCACATACAGAGAAACTCCACCATTTGGTGTCATCTTCCAGCCCCAAACAAGTCCCTGGCTAATATCAATTCTGTGCAGTGTTCATTGGCTGAGAGGTCGGCTGAAGCTCTGACAACAAATGTCAACTGCCACAACTTCTGGCTTGTGCAGGAGTTTGAAGAACATCCCTAAACTGTTGGAAGCACTAGACTCTGTGAGGGACCCAGGTATGGTGGCAAAGTGTTGCTTAATGGCTTACCCCATTACTGGGGAGCTGGACCAGAGTACTCCAGCAGGTTGTAGTGGTTTTGATGCTTGGTATGACTCTCTAATACATTCTGACATGTAAACCCCTTAAATACTCTGCTTGGAAGCTGCAGCCCGAAGTGTATTCCTGGAATTTGGCTATTGTGGTGACCTCTCACTAGATGTTGGCACTCATTAGCAATGAGGGAGATTATTCAAACTATGGCTCTTTGTTATGAAAGCAGGACTTGTGCAGTGTACACACCCATAGTACTCTGCAACATGGACAGCCAGGGAAGTATAGTCAGACATTTTAGTTGGTGTAATGTGGCCATTCCGGTACAGCTAGCAATCCCTCTGTAATCATATGATGAAATGGGTGGCAAGATACACTGTCTTGATAGTAAGAGAACAGGCTGGAGGAAGATGTGTCTATGGGCAGCCATGTGGCCTTGCCAAAAGGTCTGTGTTCCTGGAATAACATTTTTTTGAACTATATATAGAAACCATTGCTACATGTTGTGTAGTAGTGCTAAAATAGTCTAATGTGGAGTCAGTCATTAGACAGACTGCCTCATAGGATTTCCATAGTGGTCGTTTTTATGTAAGTGCTATTTACTCCTTTCCCCTTGGTACCATGTCTGGGCATCTATCTAGTAAATGAGCTAACATGCACCCATGGCTTACTAACACACAAAATTAAGCACTGCACTTGGGCGGTAGCAATGGCTATAGTATTTATCTGCTTTCCACCCTGTCCCTATTGAGGATTTAGTATGTAAGGGTTCACCTAACTGAAAGCAACAAGGTTAAAAAAAAAAAGAAAAAAAAAAAACTCCTCTGTAAATGTGCATCGGAATTGGGCTATTGCAGACTGCCCAGGTAACTTGTGCATACCAGCACTATGCAGTTGTCTATTCCTAATGTCTACCTTTTTATGCAAAACCCAGTTTGTTGCAACTGTACCTGTATGTATGGAGCAATATTTGTGTTGGCGCAAACAAGGTCTTTCCTGCAAATGCTTGCGTAATGGCTTATTTGCCAACTGCAACTCTATTCTAATTTCATAAAACTATCCATATGTAGCAAATATCCCCCTTGTTCAGTTTGTGTCCATAGAAACTGGACCATAGGAATTGCTGTATCAGAAATATTGATAGAAAATGGATCTCTCTCAGTGCTGGGGTCTTGACTCTAAATGACATGATGTAAATCTTTTGGTGAACGTTCCTTTTGGGTATTTTTTTTTATTATGCTGGCACACTTGAACTACACCCAGGTTCTCTGCAAACTTTCACTGAAGATGTTGCTGTGGATTAATTTCTGTACAATAGTCATACGCAGTTATCTTGTAACAAGGTTTTCTGGATTGTAGAAACCAGATGCTGACGAATGGCAGAATGGAACCCATGCCATGGAATCTGCTCTGAATCTTGAGAAACGTGTGAACCATGCCTTACTAGAACTACACACAACTGCAAGAACCCACACGGACCCTCACGTGAGTACTGTGGATTTAAACTATAGATTGCTGTTAAACTTCTCCAATGGCAATCTGAGAACCATCATTCCACGCTTGACAACATGGGTATTAAACTATTATTGTGCAATTTTAAATTTGTCTGGGCTTTATAGCGGTTTGTAATATATATATATTTTTTTTTTCTTGTCCTTCAGATGTGTGACTTCTTGGAATCTAAATACTTGCATAAAGAGACAAAGTTGATTAAGAAACTAGGCGACCACTTCACTAACTTGAAACGTGTCAAGGCAACGGAAGTGGGCATGGGAGAGTATCTCTTCGACAAACTTACCTTGGGGGAGGACAGTAATTAAGCCTGTCCATTTGCCATTGGTTCTAACATAATTCATATCATGTTACTGTAGACTTCATAATATAAAATTTATCAACTTTACACAAAATAAAGCTATTCAACTGACATTGATATGGCCTTGTCTAAATCTTTCTCTCTAGTAAACATTTGTCTTTAGATCTAACTGCCAGGTTGAGTACTAAAACTTAAAGTGGACTAGAATAAGATGTTTTATGATGGGCACCACACTTGTTGTTTTTTAACAAGTTTTCTGCACAGCAGACTACACTGCCTTCAGACATCACTATTAACAAATGTGATGGTTTCAGAACAGTTTTGGCAACTTACCAGGGTTCACTGGGCACCTGCAGTGAGAAGCTCCTGCGATGAGCTAAGAGCACTGGTGCAGGGCTAGGATCAAAGGCTGGTGGCCCTTACCTGACACTGTCAATGAGCTGGGCCTGCATGGCAGAAGCCTGGGAGAGCTCAGGTAAGTTGTAAAACTTTGGCTACTTGGTCAGGGAGGATTCCAGACCACTAATCTCTATAGTGGGCTTTAACTCAGATGTGTCCTGAAAAGCACGGGCTTTCAGTATGTTTGGGTTGTAATGAATAGTCCTAATATCCTTTGTCCTCCCAGTGACTATCACCTTGGTGAGATTAGAATCTCAAGACAATGTAACATGGGCAGTTACCGCTTTCTATGACTCTTTCCTCACTCTGATCTGAGGTGAAAGGTAAAAAGATCATGTAACAGTATTACAAACTGGATTTAAAGGGACACTCCAGGCACCCAGACCACTTCTGCCCATTGGAGTGGTCTGGGTGCAAACTCCCACTACCCTTAACCCTGCAAGTGTAATCATTGCAGGGTTTTTTGTTTTGTTTTTTTTAAATAAACTGCAATAGTTACCTTGCAGGGTTAACTCAGCCTCTAGTGGCTGTCTACTAGACAGCCTTTAGAGGGCACTTCCTGGATCATAGCACAGGATCAAATGGGCATGCCACACGCTATGTGGCATGCCCATTTCAGTCTTTATACATGGAACATTTGAGTTGCTTTCCAAAATCCTATAAGACCTGTACAGTGTAATTATGAGAAATCGCTGAATACAAATGAGTGTTTAGAGCAGTAAGACATAAGCATTTCACCAATGTAAGTGCAGGTTTTTGAGTGAGCAATGCCTCAAAATAGGTACACTACATGCTCAATATACCCCATTTGGAATAATATGGGTTGTCTACGTTTGCAAATGGTTTGCCATGATGGTGGTTTTCTTTCCTGGGCTTCCATAATGCCTCAGAGGCAGCATAGGCCCGGAAAATAAATCTGTCATATTTGGCCCATACAAAGTCCAAAACCCTTAAACCTATACATGGGTGGTATTGTACTGGTTGAACATTACTGGATACAATTCTTTTTTTGGCAGTAAAAATTGACATGCTGAACTTGGAAAATTACACTTTCTCATGCTTGTCTTAGATTTTATTCGTATGAATATGATGTGAAATCTTTCTCGAACAAAATTATATAAGTGTGGGTACACTTAATATGAAAGAGGTAAATTATGGTTGGTTGAACATTGCTCACATTCTAGGTTTGGTCTTGGCTCAGAACGTGGACAACTGTCTCTACTTAATGGGCTAAGTCCCTCTTAATTTTGGGGCAACAACATTCAAAAATCAAAGGTGTATAGATGGAGACACAAGTCAGATGAAATATACAGGAATGGGCGGGCACATGGTTATGAAATACAAATTTATCACATGACAACACATAACATCATGAACAAATCAGACCTGGTATGTCTGTGGACTGTAAAAACTAAATTTTCTCTGGTGTATACATTTTGGTTAAACTACCTTTAATATAAGTTTGTACAAATTAACCTATGACCCTTAGAAATAGGGGTGAATCTTCAGCCTATTTGCTGAGTGACGCCATATATAGATATATAAACCATGCTCTATACCAGGGTGCCCGACCCAGTCCTCAAGTACCCCCTACCAGTCCAGGATGTAGGGATTACTGTGTCTAAAGTGTGTGGGGTGTTTTTAAAAAAAAAAACAAAAAACAAAAAAACACCTTTTGGACACAACTGGGTAATCCCTAAATCCTAGACTGTTAGTGGGTACTTGAGGTTTGGGTTGGGAACCACTGCACTATACCCAAAAAGTTAAATTGTGAATGTGTTGTATGAAGAAGGAATTGGTAACCTACCCTGATAAAGGATACAAGCACCTGTCATTAAGTAGAAAGTTTAAGATGGCTTTCTCCTACTCCAACCACACTATGTACCGCTGAACAGGATGTACACAGCATTCCGGAGCTGTAGGACGGCAATTGTCACTGGAACACTATAGAAAACTTGATTTTATTTTGCATGTGCGCACGGTCACACAGTTGGAGTCGAACATCTGATTTGTATATTGGCCATAGTCTATTGTCCACAGAACAGCAGTAAGGCAACCACACCCAAAAACATTTTTTTTTCCCTTCTCAGAATGAGAACGAAAATTCCAGATGTGTTAATGGTTTTTCACACACCCTTCTTCCAAAAGCTTCTGTGGTGGCTGCTGCCTTCTAGAATGTTCTCCAGATGAGAATTACTTTGTCAGAATATACAGGCTTATCAGTTCGTGGCTTGAGGCTTCAGCTTCTGCAGCATTTTCTTCTTGGCTGACTTCAAGTGGAACATCATATTTGCCATTTCATCAGAAAATGTCTAGGAAGGAAAAACTAGATCAGTACTTTAATTAAAACATGTAAAGAATTGTAGAATTTGTTGACAAATGTACTGTTGCAGTTTGTACTTATACATATTCTATTTCAGGTGTGTCCAACCCACGGCCCGGGACTGCTAGCAGTGCGGAGAAGACAGGGAGTCCTTTACATTCTGTGCTCCTCCTGGACAGCTCCCTCATGAGCCCTGTAGTGAGCCAGCTGCTGACATATGTCATGCCGGCATTGGCAGCAGCAACCGCTACCCACTAGGGACAGAGGATCCAGAGGGAGGCTGGGTGGACCTCTTTAGTACTAAATGTAGATGTATTTGATTATTGTGTATGTTTTGTCAGTGATTGTGTGTTGGCGTGGGGAGGGATATGTCTGTGATTGTGACAGACAATCATAGACTTATGTGTGTTACTTGTGATTGTGTTTGTATGTATGTGATTGTGTATAGGTCTGTGATTTTGTGTGTGTCTGTGATTGTGTATGTCTGTGGGTCTGTGATTGTGTGTATGTCCATTTGTGTACATATGATTGTATATGTGTACTGTTATGGGAATGTGTGTATAAATCTGTGATTGTGTGTGTGTCTGTGGTTATGTATGCATATACATGTGAATGTGTTTAGTAGATAGCTTTTTTATTTGGTATCTGTGACAGTAGTCACCATCATTGGGAGCATAAGATGGACACTTCAATTAGATCCCTGGATGACTCTTATGTCTGTCACCCTGTGCCTATTATATGTGCAGTGTGTTTATAATGTGTGTATACTATTGTTTTGTGTGCTCTCCTGTCCTGCACACAAGGCTTGTTAATTTGCATATTCAGCGACATATTTGGTATTAAAAATTGTCTTCCCCACCACACCATAACAAATAAGGAAGTTATCTACTAAACAACTAAAATATCAAAATTAAGAGAAGGGCTTTTAAAGTTATATTACTTATATACATTATCTATATTATATATTTGATGTGTGGCCCAAGACAATTCCTCTGCGCTCAATGCGGCTCAGGGAAGCCAAAATGTTTGACACCCATGTTCTAGATCAGGGGTTCCCAACCCAGTCCTCAAGTTACCCTGTGGTGTCTGAAGTGTTTTTTTTTTTCTTTTCTAAAACCACCTTACACAATCTTTAAATCCTGGACTGTTATGGGGTACTTGAGGACTGGATGGAAACCACTGTTATAGAACATGAGTTGCTTTTATAATTCTCTACTTTTGGTCACATCCAGTGTGGCTAGCGCTCCTTTGCCATGAACTCCTGGAGGAGCATGAAGGCTAGCCTCCTGCCTACAGACTATGGTCCTGAGGCCCCTTACTTGCCCTGAACTATACTGTGTGATGGTAGTCACCATCACAGGGAGCAGAAGGACACTTTATTGATTTGTTCTTATGTTTTAGTCACCTGTACCCATTATAGGTGCAGGGTGTAGATTGTGGTTAAATGTTTTGTGTGATTTCCTGTCTTGCCATTGCTTGCTGCCAACCAGATGGATTTGGCTATGGAGCCTGTATAGTGCCACCTGTTGGTTGAAACAACTATATGCACTACCTGAATAGCAAGGCTTGTTAATTTGTAGTTTGGTAAATAAAGCCGTAAATGTGTACTGGTCTGTTTTAAAAGTTGAACCACTAGCATGAGACCACATGATCTAGAGAGTAAATTAAGTGTGCCTGGTTTGAACTTACTTTTAAAACCGGAGCATCTGTATGTGTACCATCATTGCTCTTCTTTGAGTCTCTCTAAAAACAAATATATGGAAAAAAGTAACAATCAACCAATGTTGGAGAGTTGACATTTCTTATTTCAGGACATTTTGTGTGGTGGCTTCTGTCCTCCGTTTTCTAACTTTGTATAGTAACACCCTAAAACTGCATATACAACTAGCTGTATGTGCTACAGATATAAATTCAACATATCTGGCTAGCAGAATGTGGTGTCTTTTTTTGTTAACTGGTTTCATAACAGCAGAATGTGAATTGAACACTCTGGTGGACAGCAGATTTAAAGGATCACTATAGGCACCCAGACCACTTCAGCTTAATGAAGTGGTCTGGGTGCCTGGTCCAGCTAGGATTAACCCTTTTTTTATAGTAGCAGTTTCAGACAAACTGCTATGTTTATAATATGGTTAATCCAGCCTCTAGTGGCTGTCTCATTGACAGCCGCTAGAGGCGCTTGCGTGCTTCTCACTGTGAAAATCACAGTGAGAAGACGCCAGCGTCCATAGGAAAGCGCATGCGCATTCAGCCGATGACGTCACTATGGAGGAGGAGAGGAGGAGGAGAGCTCCCCGCCCGGCGCTGGAGAAAGGGAAGATTTTAAACCCTTCCTCTCCCCAGAGCCTGGCGGGTGGGGGCACCCTCAGGGCA